CATGACAGCTAATAATTTTCAGTTACCTTCTTCCCTGCATGCTGAATTCAGGCAGAAACAGAAGTACATGAATACCATTTGGGTGACTATTATAAATGCTTGAACCTGGAGCCTAATGGTTTCTCCACGCCAGCAGATTTTCTAATGCTGCTGCTGTTACTGACCTTTCACCTCCCCTCTTGATCGTCCTGGATACCTGAAAATTTCATGTCCTCTGATGCTGATTAGGAAGACTCCCATGTTCTCCAGCCTCGACTGTTTACATAAATAGACACATTAATGCATTTTGCCAGCAAGCTTTCCTTTGATGCTTTGGCACAGATGGTTGATATTTCCATGCCGCAGCAGCTATTAGATTGTAATGTTACCGGTGACAACTTTACATCATCTGTACCAAGTACACTCTGGGCCCCTGCAGCGGGATGCACTAGGAATTCAGCCTGAGATACTGCCATGAGCTTAGGCTGCTCCTGCCTTCTGCAGATGGAGTTTGCACACCTTGGTTCGTGGCACTGCTGCTTTGCGGATTCCTACAACACTTTGCTGTAGCTGGGGGTATTCCACCAGTTATCCTCCTGCTAGGGGAATGTCAGGCATCGCCTCTTCCCACTTCCTTGAAGAATTGCCCCCCATGGATGATGAGCTCTTCTCCTTGGGTGCTGTCCCAAAGAGTCATTCACCCCTGTCATCTCTCCAATTTGCTTTTAAGAATTAAAAAAAGGATCTCTATAGGTCTGAACCAATTCCCTCTTCCTTCCTTCAGAGACACCAGAGTTTGGGACCACTCTAGATCCAAGTCCCCACAAGCTCCAGCCATGGATTTGAACTGACTGCAGCTTTGGAGAGGCCAGAGCAGGACTCTCCAGTCTCTTGTTATGTTAACAATGGCAAAACACCACAGAGACGGCGGCTGAAATTCAAGCGCTATTTAAACAAATGAATATGTAGGGTATAGTTCATACAATGCGAGTTCAGACAAGGAAAATCGGAACAGCCAGGCAGCTCAATGCGAACCAGATTTTAAAAACAAAAACAAAACCCCAAAGCCCTTCCTCAAGGAAGCCCTTGCTGAATTCTTTCCCCTGCTGAGGAGTCCAACATCATGCCTTGTACTAAAGCCTTTGCATTTCACTCCAAGGAAGGACTTGGAGAAAAAAAAAAAAAAATGGAGCCCATTATGGAACACAGTCTGGCTTACAGCCAGGGCTGGGGGGAAAGCAGCATAGAAACCCTCTGGTTTAGCAGCACATTCTACTCCTGCTCTATGGCAGACAAGCTTTTGCAAAGCCCTAGCCGTTTGAACCCGTAGCGCTGCAGAGTCTCAGCTTCCCTAAGGCGAATCAGTCAATTGGTTCAACAGTGTATTTAAAATCCCCGGAGTCTACCTTTAAATCACCTTTATATTCCTCTACCCAAAGCTAATAGTTTCTACCTGCATTTTGCTTCATCTCTGTAGAAAAACAAGCTATTTAGCAGTCACATTAATAATCCGCAGCAATCTGGTTGTCATTTCCCTGATGGAAAATTTCACACTGCTGCCCAGCAGCCGCGACGTGGTGAGTGCTATGTGCACCTCAAACCGCTCTGCTTTCCTCCCACTAAACCCAGCAGTCGTGAGAAAGGCAAGAGCCAGAACTGGACGGGTGGGGAGGATGGGCAGAAAACGCAGAGTTGAGGCTGGTCAGGTGTACCTACGGCTCACGCACGTGCAGGAACCACGTGGAAGCAACCTGATGCTGAGTGAGAAAGTCAGCAAGCTCACGTCAGAAGGAGCTTAGAGGAAACCCAGCTCCTGAAGCCCCAGCCATTCGATGGTGAAATATTAGTTGATGACGACTTTACAGTGGAAGGTGGTCTATGGAGAGGAGCTTTGGGATGGAAGGGTCTAAGGTAGGAGATGAACTCCTGGGGACATGAACTACCTTTGCTATGTGCATCCAGCCCCCCCGGCCATGGGCGCTCAGTCTGCCCACGTTGACTGATGGGTGAATGCAAACAAGCAGCAAGAGGTGGGGGCCAGTGTTTTCAACATACTCCTAATTTCCACTCTTTTTGATGTGCCTTCAAAGAACCACTGTCATCCTAAATATCCCAACCTGGCCTTCTCTGGTCGATGAGTCTGTTAAGCAAGTGACTGAAAGACTGTTTAAGTTTTCTAGGCATCTTCCAGGGAGAAAAGCAGGTCCCTCCAGGATGCCTGTCCCAAGGTGAGATACAAAGCCTCCAGAGGAGCGTACTTTTCTCTGCTGGCTACAATGAGGACTTCAGCTGACCAGCTCCCGTCTTGAAGTCCAGGATGCTCTTGGTGGTCCCAGAGCTGCTGAATCCCACCCAGCACTGCTGGGGACAGATGGGAGGGCAGAAGCCTTCATCCTCCCAGAGTAACCACTAGCCCATCCTTCCTCTCACACAGTAGCTGCTAGCATGTCCCCTCCCCTCTGGCAAGGTGCTGGTAAACAACACAAGGCTTTTGACATGGCACCATAAAACATATCCTGAAAGTATTTTTCCTAATATAGCCCGGCGTGCCCAGGGTGGCCTCATGTGAAAAGCCCAAGAGGTAAATATTCATTAAATAAGCAGAGAGCTTAATATAGAAAGTCATGGAGTCAAGTACTCTCCAAGCCCCCTCACGTCTTTGCAAACATCAGCCAATGAAGATAAATTTGGCGCAGTTGATCACTTGCACTTTTAGGAAAGGCTCTTCTAAAAGAAAAAAATCACATGTTTCAGTGTTTATAATCTCTATAGAAAGGCCTGGTCCAGCATTTCTCCCCTCTAATTCCTGCTCTCATAACTGTCAGATTATGAAACTGCAGACTATGAGCCTCTCGAGTTTACAGAAAAACACCTCTCTGCTCTGCCGCCACTTTGAGCAGATGAACTAATAAAAACAATCTCCGCTATTCACTCCAAATGCCTGGGAGAAAGGAATCTGGAACAGTAGTAACTTCAAAATACCGTCAAAGAAAGCAACCACCCACAGCGTCTGGAGTCCCCCTACGCTTATCAGCTCCCTTCACCTTGTTACCCGAAAACCACGACAAAAATCTGCTTCTTCCCATCCAGCTGCCTGCTGGGATTCACTGCTGGCTGAGGCAGAGGCCAGCACCCCACTGCCCTATTTCTCCCGAGCCAAAGAATTAAGGAGCTGTGTTGCCTTTAGGGTGTTTGATGACGGGAGATTGCTCAGCCACCCATTCCCAGTGGGATGGTCCCCCTGGTATACGCACAGTGGGAGCCTACACCAGCATCTCCCAAAGATGCTCCTGATAAAGGGCAACAAGCTTTGACAATCCGCCCCTTGGACAGTCGCAGCAAAGACACGGCGGATCTGCTTTCACCTTTCAGCCAAAGGAGGAATATAACTGTTTATTGGTTTCTGTGAGCCACCCCCCCAGCCCGGGTTCCGAGGAGATGATCTTCCCAGTATTATTAAATAAAGGTGGAATCACTCAAGCTTCTCCGCAGAGCTCCCACCAAGGGCAGCACATGAAGGTGAAACCTGCAGGACTTCAGAGCGCATTGCTGTTTAATGTGTACTGAAAACAACGGTTAGCCAGCCAGACTGTATTAGGACATCAGGGAGAAGGTGCTGGCTGGAAGGGACACATTTAGCACAGCCACGTCTCCCTGGCGTTCGGTCAGTGAGGCATTAATGCCATGGGAGGACACGGGAATTTGGAACCGATCTGCAGCCACCACCGCTGCCACTGGGAGCTGTGGGAGAAACGGCTCTGCATGCAACTGCGAGCGACTCTGCAAACACAAAATATGCCAGGAAGGGAGAAAAGTAAACAGCCACGACTCGAGATGCAAGGGATTTCCCAGCAAAGGCTGGCGCTGGGACAGGGGTGGCCGTGTCTGGCTGGGAGGGGAGAGGTCTGGCATCCCGGGAGAAGCACCATGCTGGGCTGGCCACTGGGAGCCCTCAAGAGTTGGAGGGGTATATAACAAGGTTCTGCAGCATCTCAGCCTCCCTGCTAATAAACTCTTCACCCCAAATCCAAACGAAGCGTGCACCTGCAGCTCCAAGCCATCCCATGCCTGCGGCAGGACCGAGGACACCACGCCAGGCGTGCCGCCAGCAGCAGCCACAAAACCTACGTGAGACCAGACCACGCAAAAGCCGCTCTAAAACCAGAGCTCTTGTCATCTCATGGAGACATTTCAAGAGGAACATGGTAACTCCTTCTCTTAATGACTATATATAGGGAAAAGCTCTGCTAGGGGACAAGTGTGCGAGAGGCTGGAGCAGAGGCAGCCTCTCGCCTGCAAGGGCTTAGATAATCGAGCGGAGGAATAGCCAGCGATGAGTCTATTTTGGACTCAGCGTGCTGTTGCTGGAGCATTCACCAGGGAGGCAAAGGCATTTGTTACCTCCTCTCCAGGGACTGCAAATTCAATAGACTTCCTTGCCTGCAGCTGCACCGACCCAGAGCCCGCAGCCGCCAGCAGCGTTGCTAGCACTGCCAGGCTGGCACAAACCCAGTGGCAAACGGCTGCTCCCTTCTCTTTGGACCCCACGCCGCAGAAACCAGCAACGCGTGGTGCTGCTCATGTGACGGCGGTCCCGGCATGGTGCTGAGCACCCCTGGCAGGACTGGGATGTGGGAGCTCACACAGCCCGGTACCAGCCAGAGTGATCGTTGCCTGCAAGCTGGAAGCAGGCTCAGAGGAGAAAAATCAGCCCTGCTCTGTCCTGGGACCCTTCCTACAGCACGCCAATGCCTCTTGCCCCAAACCATCCTGCCGGCGGCCGGATTCGGACCTGTAGCACTGCCCGCATCCCCACTGCGCCAGGAGCCGCTGGGCCAGCACTCACCTGCTCGTGGTACTCAATCCCCATGCTGAGTGTGTTGATGAGAATGGCCACCATGATCCCACGGCCAAAATATTTGCTGTCCACGATCTTCCGGAAGGTCTCACACACCACGTGCCAGAAGGCCAGCACCCGGCTCGCTCTCCTGGCCCGGGCTCTGCCCCGCTGCGGGTCCCGCTGGTCACTGTAGTGGGCGTCCTGCGTGAACTCGTAGACCCCCTCGCTGTCCGAGTCGGCCGTCTCGTTGTCCGTCAGCTCGGCCTCGCTCGCCAGCGCCTTGAGGCAGTAAGGGCAGCTCTCGGGGTTGCAGGAGCCGCCATCCAGCTTGGTGCAGGGGCTGGAGATCTTGCAGGAGCTTTGGCAGGGACCTGAAATGCCAGCGGGACAGGGGCAGGGCGATCCATCAGCTGGGACAGAGGGGCTGCAGGCGGCCACGGGAGCAACCCCCCATTCCCGTTAGCACCAAACCATTGCCCTCGACAAGACAGGCATTTCCTAAGGTGAAAAGGGCTCCTGCTGGGTTAAATAGCTCAAAACCTGGGCTCCCCAAGTGCCTTCTCCCCAGTTACAAAACCCTCTTGCTGTCGCCAGACACTGCCACCAGCCCAGCACCCCTAGCCCACCTCGTTATACCTCTGGCCATTAGAGCTAGGAGAAAGCAATCAGTTCCCCTGGCCCTGGCAGGCTCCGGGCTGTAATTATTGGGAGCACTGCCGCCAGCAGCCTCCTTTCCTGCTCCCACTGTTTGCTGATGCCCTGAAATCACCAGCTTCGCCCTCCACAAACTGCCCTCAACGGCAGCTCCCAGCTGCCAGGTGGCTCCCGGGGTGACAATATCAGCGGGATATTCCCCAAAAATCCCACCAGCTGGCTGCAAGGGGAGAGGCTGTCTGCAAAGCACGCTCCTGACTCGTGCACAGCAGCAAGCAGCAGTGCGAATAAAAACTCAGCGCTAAACCGACTGAGAGCCCGGCTCTGTGTATTTAGTCTCCAGGCAGCTCTGGGCTGGGGGCAGGACTTGGTCTCTTCCCTGCACAGCTCCTGGCTGGAAAGGTCAATGCTGCTGCGGTGGGGTGGAAAAGGCATTGACCGCCTGGGAAAGCTTGGCCAGAAACGCTTCTTGGAGGCTGAGGGGGTTTGGATGAGACTGGCCCAAGCTCCTAAACCTCAGGATGTGGAGGGGGAAAGAGCATCTTGCAGCGAAGGTTTGAAACCTCCGATCCAGGAAAGCTGCATTCAGTATCTGGCTCTGTTTGTTACGAGCTTCCTGAGCAAATCACAGATCTTTAATACTCGGCATCTGCAATTGCCATCGAGCACTCGTGCAAAACAGACACTCGATCTCCGTGAGCCTCCCGTCCCACAAGAGCGCTACGCAGTGCTCACGGATGTGCTGGGACTCAGATCTGGAAGATGTCCGTCCCCGAGCTCTGCAGCAAGTGTTGGGCAACGAAGCCACCTCCAAGCCCTGCATTTTAGCGAGGAAGGGACACGGCTATTTGGGAGCGGCCAGGCTGGGCTCCAGCTCTGCTCAGTGTCATTGAGCCCAGTTCTAGCGGCTTTTGGGAGTGCAGGGATTTGGGAAGCGTTCCCTGTAACTACAGAATAAATTGGTTTGGGGGCAAGATGGGGATGGGAAAGAAAATGGGTTCACTGAAAACATTCATTTCCCTTGGATTCTTGCAAGTATGAAGTCTGGGAGGTCAAAACCTCTCTCCTGGTTTTGGCTATAAGACGCCTTAGGTAGGTCAGAAGATTCATGTTGGCCTCACCTGGAAAGCCATCGCCTTTCTCCGTAACGTGGACTGAAAAGAACCCTGCAAAGATTCAGAAAGAGAAAGAAATGAGGTTGTAGCTTGTATTTCTGCAAGGTAACCCCAGACCGACGTCCAGCCCCAGGCTCACCTGTGCTCTGCGTCTCTAGCAGCTTGTGCATGGTGCTGTACGGCCCGGGCGGGATGTTGAGGCTTGTCAAGGTGCTGCTCCCACCACCGACCGCCGCCTCCCCCAGGTTCTTCTCTTTCAGCATCTCATGGGAGGTACTGGGGTGCACCGTGGGGTACACCTTGCCGCCCACGATGTTCTTGGGGATCCCCTCTGGGCTCGGCAAACCGAGGCCCGGCTGCGGGAGGGATGACCGGCAGCGCACCGGCTCGAAGTGGCAGTCGGCATGGTAGATGCTGTGGACGGACTCGGTGTTGCTGGGAGCGGCGCCGGGGGCCCCGTGGGGGTTTGGTGCCGAGGGGGGGAGCATCAGCCGGTTGGTCCCATTGTGGAGGGAGCCGGTCTCCACATCGCTGATCTCCGGGCTGGCGCGGGGTGCCCGCAGGTTCCCATTGCCCAGGTGATAGTGGTGGTGGTGGTGGTGATGGTGGTGGATGAGGTGGTGCACGGAGGACCTCTTTCTGCTCCGGCGCTTCCTGGAGTGCCGGTCAGCCCCTGCCTTGCTCGTGGGGCTGGCGAGGAAACCCATCCTCACGCCCGCCACCCGGTAGACCTCCACGAGCTGCTTGCTGCCTTTGCGGGCAATGTAAACCAGGTACTTGAGGAGTTCGTCGTAGCAGCTGCCCGGCTCCGAAAAGCTGGCGAGGGTGCTGGCGTTGGACAGGTAGCGTACCCGCTGCTCCTTCATCAGCTGGCTCTCGCGCTGCTTCGTCTCGGAGAACTGCGTTGCTATCACCACCAGGCAGAGGTTGATCATGAAGAAAGAGCCCACCTAAGGGGACAGGAGCCATCAGCCACCTCAGGGTGGCCATGCCCACCCCATAGCCCTGCCTCACCCCACGCCCTGGCGCAAGCCGGGAGAAAACCCCATCCAGCCCCGTCCCCTGCGTCACCTAGCAGGGACCGCTGGCCGGGACCGCGGAGGGGCTGACTCAGCCCCCAAGCCCCCACCCAGGGACTCCCACGCCAGCGCTCTACGGCGGATGCCAAAGATCAAAGACGAGAGAAGATTATTTTGACAAAAACCTTTTGCTCTTTTAAGATGGTGTTTTTCTCTCTCCGCAGACAGCGGTTGTAATTATCACAATTAGTGGCATTACGATGAATGCACTGAGCCTTCTTGATAGGAGCGCTTTTTTCTGGCAGTGTGTGGGCAGCTTGCGAGCAGATCCCTTTCCCCTGCTAACGGGATTTGCGGGTGACTGTTACGCAAGGGCATCAGCAGTCTGTATCCACAGCTTGGAGATTTTATTTCCAACCAGGGTTTCATGAGGTTCTGCCTTCTGCAGAGCCCAGCCTGGATCACGGAGAATTACTGACGTGCTAACGGGCTATCACACACTGCTAATGTTACTCACATGGCATCTGGAAAAGTACTGCTTGCTCTTCCTCTCCATCATTTCGGAGATGCTGAGAGCAAGGGATTGTTTCTTTTTTGGGGAAGCTAATAGATGAACTAGAAAAAGCATCATGGACTAAACGACCTCCTACCTTCTCCTCAGGTTTTGAGTCCTGGTTTGATGAGGAGCAGAAATCCCCACAATGGCCTAATGGACAACGTGCAGCTATTTTGCTGGACTTAGGCCAATTAGGCAGCAAGAAGGGGACTTATCTCACTTATCTCAGCTACATCTGAGTGAGGCACCTAATGATCCTTTAGAGTCAAGAGAGAAATAGGCACATCAAGTCTGAAATGCATCTAATTTATTTTGGATGTCTACCTTCAGAGGAGATGAATCACCCCCTTAAAGCACCTATTTTTCTCCCTTGACGATAAAGGGAGTCTAGACAACGAGCTCAGCCAGTCACGGTAGACAATTCTGCTTGCATAGATGAAGCCCATCATGGAGCCCACCCCACAGAAACTCTTTGTTGTCTCCTTTGTGGGTGGTCTTGGATGATGCTGTGAAGCGTGGGTGGGCTGTGGGCAGTAATCTCTTCCCTCCTTTCTTAATGTGCTCTCTAAAGTTTGGGACTGTTTTCCTGAAATGTCCCAGCCAGCTGGGTTCTTCGATATGGGGGAATTTCTGGGCAGCCTCCTCCCCTTCCAGAGCTCAAAATCTGACCAGGGGAATTTGCCTACTTTTAAACTTAAATATTAGGTGGCAACTATGAGAGAGGACCTTGGAGCACAAGGAGAGAAGTACTAGAAGCAGCAGCCACTGAAGTGCATCTACCATAGCTTAAGCACATCTTTCCTTCCTTCATGTCTGCAGCAAAATGCAGCTGCAATGCAATGCCATATTGAAGCTGCGTGTCTTCCAGCAGGCTGGTTTCTGCCTCAGCTTTTACATTCACTGTATTATCTGCCCTGTTCCTCTGGGTCACTCCACTCTGCTCTCTCCAAATGCCAAAAGGACCCCCGCCTTCCCCTAAGGCCACTCACAATGATCAGGAGGATGAAGTAGATGAAGTTGTAGAAGGAGTGCGCATCCATGACAAAGTACATGATGTCCACCCAGCCTTCCAGTGTGATGACCTGGTGGAGATAGGAAGGGAAAATGACCCCATCAAGGCTCAGTTCCAACACCAAGTGCACAAGCAACGTTTCTCCTGGCTGCGTCATTTCTGACACCCCATAGCTGGTCTCGGTGCAGTCCAAGACACTGAGGAGCCAAATCCTGCTCCTGCCAATGCCAATAGCCACGTTACCAACTGCTCAGCCTGAAGCCAGCCCTTCTTTTCCAGCTGGACCTAAGGCCCACTACTGCATTTTGCAGAGGGAAGAGCAGTCTCTAGGCTCTGCTCCGCATCAGGATGGTCTTACTGCACACACACAGGATTTGGAGACTGGGGTTTTGTCCATGCATGTGAGATGGAGGCATCTTCAAGCATCAGATTGCACCCCCGACATTTTGAGCACCCGTGCACTGCTATATAATGCTTGCTGGTGCAAAATAGCTCCCAAGAGTGCGATTACGCAGCCCCTAGGAACATGTTGGGGCGCACGACCGGCTGTTCACCCACCTCGTGACAGTTTGCAGACAAGGCTCACCTGAAATATCGCGATCCAGGCATAGCCAATGTTATCGAAGTTGATGGCTCCCTTGAAGGGGTTGTGCTCCCCGGCGGAGCAGTTGGTGTAATACTGGTTCCAATTGACACAGGATGTGTTGGTAGTGTCATTGTAGGAATAATAATCCAGGGTGCACTCAAGACCTTCTTCCCTCCGTGTTGGGATACTCCGGCAGTAGCGCATCCCATTCTCCCGGGGCTGGGAGCAAATGAAAGGATTCTCGTCTTCGTTCTCTGTCTGGTAGTATCGCTCCAAATCCACTGTGTACGGGCTGAAAGAGTCCAGACAGGGCTGGGGTTTGCACACCAATTGCAGGCAATCTGGCAAGGTAATAACTGTAACAGCAGTCTGACATCTGTTATTCTGGAATTTAAAGTTGTTTTTTTTTTAAAGGGATCCCCCTGGACTTTCTACAGCCCCACTGGGTGAGATGATGTCCCTAACTGGGTTTTGGGAAACTGAGGCAGTGCACTCGGCCACTCAGCAACCCCTCTGATGATGACATTATTAAGAGTCACTCCATCTGGAAGTGCTCTGGCTTTGACTTTAGGGGACTAAGAGCAGGATTCAGCCCGGCAGGGCTTCTCTGAAATGCCTTTGCTGCAGTAAGATGGAAATCAGTCAGTTAAACTCCTGTATCTCTTGTCCTCCTGGAGATGCTGAGAACTGCTTGGGGACACTCTATGTACAAGGACCTCCCAAGCTTCCTAAAAACCAAAGACAGGGCCTTCATCTGCATTTCACAGTGCCTGTTCAGCCCATAGATAAGCTCTAAATTCCCTCTGAGGGTGGCCTTACCACAGCAAACCAGGCAAACACACTCTTCAGGGAGATGAAACAACCCATGGCCAGCCAGGAACTGGCTTCTTGCTCTGCACACAGCTATCTCCTTAATGCTGCCAAGACTTCCAGTAAAGCTTGCAAAGATATTTTTAAGCCTAGTTCAGCCCGGTTAATTCCTGCAGAATTGCCTTTAATACCCTTCAAAGCTTATCTAAACCCCTGGAATTCTGGCTCAATTAAACAGCACCCAAACCTGTGGCTCTATTGGATTTACTCAGTGGTGAAGCAGTCCCTCTGCTCTGTTGCCATTTACTGAACAGGGACGTGCCCGGTAATGATTGTCCCAACTGCCCTTTGAGGACACGACCTACAAGAGGGGTGGCAGTTGATTAGGAGATGCGTGGGAAAGGATAAAAGGTGCATCGTACCAGCTCCAGACTCGAGAGCCAGCCTAGCCACCGCAGCAGCATCGTGGTCCTGCTGTGTGCAAGAGAGAGGTTTGGGGCTTGCAGGACTTCTCCATCCAGGTGTGGATCTAGCCAGACCAACTCCGGGGAGTCAATTTTTGAAAGCAATCCACTGACAGGGGACAGGGGTACCAGAGCCCGGCAGAGCAGCCATCAAGGGCTTGCAAGTCAGCTGCCCTTCTCCTAGCATTCGAAGGGAGGGAGGTGGTGGAAAAAAAACCAGGTAGGTAGGAGAACAGGTATGGAAAACCTGGTCTGAAAGAGGCTGACACCTACCAGATATTTTGACCACTGTTCAAACACTCCTACATCTGGCAAGCTGGCTGGCCAGGAAACTGGGTGCTACAAAACCCCATTTGATCACAATAGTCCTCTTGGCCTTAAAATCCAGGGATTTGTGAAAATTAACACTTTGGGACAGGGACTATCTGTTGCTTTGAGACTGAAAAGGATCTAGCATCACAAAATGTATGGTATCTCCATCAGTTTTCCCTGGGGTTTAGGCGGGACTATAAATGTCATACCAATAAACACTACCAGCTGCTGAACAGGATTCAGACCTCAACGTCTCGACAAATGCAGAAAAGGTCACACGTTAATGATATGCTGAATTTAGAAAGCCTGAACTCTTATTCTCAGGGGTTTTTTGGAAGCTCTTATCAATCAGAGAGGTTCCCAAGTGCCGGCTGAGGGTTAAGGCCAGCCCTGCAGGACTCGAATGGCAAATTGTCGCAGCTTGCTCTGCTCTGGCTGTGTGTGCCTGAGCAGGAGTTGTGGTGGCATTTAGGAGCAGGAAACATTTACAGAAGACCAGGGCTTTTTAATGGAGGATATCTTTGTCTCTTGGAGACATAGACTTGCTCGAGCGGGAGAGACACTTCTGCTGCCTGCGCAGACTCACATGCTGAAGTTCTCGGGGAAGAAGCAGCGGTTCCTGAGCAAACCTGCCCACAGCTGGACTCCCACGATGCCGAAGATGAAGAAAACGAAGAAACAGAGGAGGAGGACGTTCCCCAGCATGGGCAGCGTGTCCAAAAGAAGCGTCACCAGGATGCGCATACCTGAGGCAAAGAGGAAATGTCCATGCTGAATTTTCTTATTCCAGCTATGTCCTCCTGACCCTTTCCTTTCCATCCATACTTTTCCTTCCACTGACAGCCACTGCCTTCCCAACCACTGTCCTTGTCACCCCCACATAGCTTGCAAACTCCAGCAGCTCCCCAGTCCCCACTGGTTTTCCCCCAAAGCCCCTGGGATACCCGCCTTCATCCGTGTCCTGCTCCTGGGCACACGACCTACCTTCCCTTCCCCTCTCCCTCCCTTCACTCCTCATCTCAAGTCCTCTTTCTCCTCCTAAAGTTTTCTAGTAATTTTATGTCTCCTTTCTTCCCTGAGACCAAACTCTGACATTCTCCCTTGCTCAGTCATATTTCTTTCCCCATTCAGTACATATTAAAATTCCCTCCCCTCCCTAATTCCCCTCATCTACCCTAAATCCCCTCTCTTCCTTAAAATACAGGACTCTCTCTGGCAGTTAATTCTCACAAGTTCAGGAACAGCCAGTTCTGTAACAAAGACAAATTGATGGTGACTTCAACTTGACATTTACACACAAAAAAATTGATTTCATCTGACGTCTCTGTAATATTCTGCTCATCTCTCGCTCTCCTTCTTTCCCCATCTTCTGCATTCTCTCACTCGCTTATATTGATTTTCATTTAAAGAAAGCTTTACTGTTGCACCCTTTACTTTGATACTTCAGGAAGACTTTTTTCTCTCTTCCTGATGCTGTCACCTCCTCTATCAGGGTTTTATTTCTATTCCTCTACTGGGGAACAACCACCTTGCATCAACTCCTAATTAACTGAAATGACTTTCTGTGGTTATTGCATTTATCATCATCATACAAAACTCTCTTTTTTCTTTTCCCACCTTACATTTCTATCCCATTGTAACTACGTTGCAGAGAAGCCAAGATAAATTACCTGGGATTTCAAAATACATTAAGTGAATTACATCCCCAGTTAGACAGTGGTGGATAAATTCAGCCATCCATCAGTTCAGCAGTGGGGATAAAAAAACCATTGCAAACAGGATTCTGAAGCTACCATAATGATTGAAACAGCAGCAGCAGCAAAGCCAGATTAAGTTCACTAGTCAGGACCAGAAAAATAAATAGAGCCCAGGCACCTCCAGCACCGGCAGACAGAACCGAAGCTGATTAGTTCTCGTCACGGCATTGGGCTAGTTCAGATAGGGGAGCTCGGACTTGGATTGAATTTGGCTAAAACAATGCTGGATTCGATACCCAGGACTGTAGGACCAGGAAAACGACGTTTCTGATGCACTTGTACTTACGCTTAACACACCCGATCCGTGCAGCGTCCAAGAGGGATGGAGCTCAGCGCCTCTCGCAGCGCTCCGGGCTCTGCCCAGCACGGCGCAGCAGGAACGGCTCCCTGGGCAGTTTGGTTGGGTTTGCGACGGCCAGTGCCTCTCCGAGCACAGGGCTGGGTTACCATCGCCTGCTGCCGTGCAGGAGCAGGCAATACCACCCACTGCTCTTCAAGGGGGGGGTCTGAGACCCTCACACATGACCTGATACACCAGGACTGACTAGCCACCTCCCATCCCACCCAGGTTTTCTTTGGCGGTGTTGGGGTTTTGGGCTGTATGGACCAGCTCTGGGGAGAAGAGCAAGAGATGCTCCAAGAGAAGGCTCCTCAGCGCATCCCGGGGGGCTGTCTCCAGGCACAACAAGATTTCCTCATCCCAGTTTCTCCAGGAAAGGATGGGGTAGCACAGGAAGGGTGGGAGCAGCACGGCTCAGACCCTTCTGCCCTGCTGCCTGGCAAAGGCTGTCGGCTCAGTCAATCCCTAACGCCTGCATCCCTTCACTTTAGGAGCCTCCTAAGACCCTCTTCAGCTGAGAAAGAAAGGTGTCTGAAGACAGTCCTAGATATCTTATTGACTGGTGGCTCATCTCTGGTGCCACAGGTGTCAAAAGGATTATTTAAAGTAGAAGAGGGACAGGCACTGGAAACCAGAGAGTGGTGATAGGACCTAGCACTACCAGGCTTAGGTGAACGTTTGAGCTGCAATGTAAGATGGGGAACATCTGTGTTTGCTCTTCCATCTTTGGGGCACAGATACAGAGAACTTGCATCAACTGGGAGGAATAAGGATCTGACTTACTGGGGACCCTGTTAATGGCCCTGAGCGGCCGCAGGACACGGACGGTGCGGACCGCTGAGAAGCTGACGTTCTGCAGGTCCAGGGAATACTCCAGCATCCTGCAAAAGACACGAACACGGAGGAACGTCAAGGATCTTCTGGAGAAATGTTAGATTATCAAACATTATAAATCAAACATTATATGCCAACCTCTCACAGAGGGACTTGTTACTGCATGTCTCCCATCAGGAAAGTTTGCCAGAGGAATTAATTAAGGGTTGTTTGCGTATCAGAATAAAGTCAATGAGTGAGAATGTGATACACCAGCTCACACAGCCACAGATCTTCTTTCTCTCTCATCTGCTTTTGTTACTGTTTTTGCACAGGTGCAGGGCAGAAGCTTCTGAAAGTCCCTGCACACTCCAGGGGAGCAATTTCCAGACACAGCCCTGATTTTAACAGCAATCGTACAGGTACTCTAATCAATCTGGGTTCGCTGTGCTGAGCACCACCATAACCCTGAAGAGAAGGGAGGAGCATCCCCTGGTGCAGACCCTTTCTGTGGGACACCGGAGTGTGCACCACGGGACGCTGAGCTGTGCCAGCTCTACCCAGCAGAGATCACTGGCAGGTGGGACTCAGGTGGACGGGCAAGCGCACAAATCAAAACTGATGACACTTTTAGATAACAAATGAGGCAAATGTGGACCTAGGAACCTCCCAGTGCTCCTACGCTGTGCCTGAGGGGGTTATCTCACAGCACAGGACACTGAGGTGCAACCTTCACATGACTTCGTCTGAGGATGCATCAGTCACGTCCCCGCCAGGACTTTGCTCTCCAGCCATGAGAAAACACAAGAGCTCTGCCCAAAAGCATTCTTGAAAAGGCAGAGCCAGGCAAAGGCAAGGAAGAAGACCACGAGGCTCCCCGCACAGCCAGGCTCCCGCTGCCACAGGCAACCACAGGATATTAATCTCTTCCGAAAATTATCAAGTTCCATCTCAAAGCTAGTTGGGTGGTTCCCTCCCTCCAACTTTGGTGGTTAGAAGCCTAACTTCCAGCCTGAATTTATTCAGGACAAGCTCATATCCATTTGTTCTTATGGCAGCGCTGTCTTTTAAGTAGCTTCTATAGCTGTTCTTTGTCCCGGGTGTTTACCCACCCGATGTATTTACAGAGGACACATCACATCTCCTCTCAGCCTTGATTTTGCAAAGTCAAACAAACCAAGCTCTTCCAGCCCCATCTCACAGACAGGCTCTCTGCTTCCCAGTCACGACCTTTCTCCACACCTGCCCTGGCCTGAATTAATCTTACGTGATTAGACATCAGGCTGCTGAAGGAGGCTTTGCTGGCGCCTTGCACAAAGGCATCAGCGCTGCCCCCTCCCTCCCTGCTGGAAGTCCCGCAGGATTCATCAGTGCCCTGTTAGCTTGGCCACGGCTGCAGCACACTGGAGGTTTCTGCTCTAGCTGTGATCAGCCAAACCCACTCTCCTCCCTCCTGCCCGTTGGCAGGTGAGGAGCACCTGGGGCGGAGAAGATTTTCTACCCCCCAAATACACGACTCCTCACTTGATGCAGTGACGCTTTATCTGATTTCTCTTGATAGGCTCTAATGAGGATGATGATGATCAAGCCATATCTAAGATCAAAATAACTTTAACATGTTCCTCTGTATTTAGCTGACACCCGCAGCCATGGGACAGTCCCAGAAGATGAATATTAGACAGGCACATGTAGATACTAGGAGTTTGTTCTCATCCTCCGACGAGAGGAAGGCAGCATGCCCACGAGAGCCCACCCGGTCCCAGTGACAAAACCAGCCCCTTCTTAGGTGTGCAGGACTCACTGCCTTGGGTGAGTTTTGGCTAAGGTAAGGAAAGGGGCAACAACTTCCCTGGGCTTTAATGGTTCTCAAGTTTCACTCGCTTTTCACTTGAAAAGAAGATTTTTGTATGGTTTGCAGAATTCAGGTAAAAAGCCCATGTCACACATACAGCTTTTTTTCGATCCATTATTAAAACAGAGGCTACCAGCAAAATTCAGAGCAGCATATGGTTATTTGCAACAAGGCAAATCATTTTCTGATTAATGACAGCTCTAGACTCACTTCCAGAGACGCGTGTGATTGCAAGCTGCAAAGGGCACGTTGTAAAATGCATTTTGATTTAACATATTAAAGAACAATTATAATGCCAAATTTAAAATACCAACCAAACAACAACCCAGTAGCTTGAGCAAACACTTGAACACCAAGAGCAGGTGGGTGCTCTCCTACTTCTGCTGCCGGACACTGCTACCAGCGCCAGCTTTACAGCACCGCAAGCTCAGCCCCAGACCTAGACTACAGCATCTACACATTGCTGGTAACTAACAGCTCAGGAGCCTCGAGAGAACCCAGTATTCGCGAAAAAAATTGTGGGGAAAAATCAGTCACTAACAAGCAAGTCCAACGAGAATCCCACCGCTTCCCAGCTCTGCAGTCACTTCCCAAGGCAAGGGGATGCATGGGAGGAATCAATCCATGTCCCTGGCAAGGGAAGATACCCAGGGAGAGTGAACGTCAGGATGTCACCAACTGGTGAGGTGACAGGTGCATTTACCAGCATATATAACATTTACGCATTGAAAATCTGCAGTGTAAAAAGCCCCCGATGAAGCTTCAACTCAAATGTCATTTCTGTTCAAACGGGAAAGCGCGATGCCTGTCAGTGCCTCTGCCACGGACCTGGATGCCCAGCCAAGCTAAAGGCTCAGAAAAATACTCAGCATTAAGTAGGATGGATTCATAGCAAATGCTGAGACTCGTCAGAGTGATCAGCAACCCCCGATTGCTGGAGTTATTCAGATGGAAAGCGGAAATATTTAGGACTTTCTAAGAATAAAAGCAGAGCATCTGTAAAGCCAGACATACAACGGGCTGGTGGTGGGATGCAGAGAGAGAGCTGATGCAAACCTTTGGCAAACCCTCCTCCGAGAAGGAAAACTCCCGGGACTCAGCAGTCAGACACGAGGCATGGCTCAGGATGGACCGGGCAGCTGAAATTCATTCCTATTTCTGCCTGGAGACAGCGAGACTCAGAGCACGCTGGGGTTTCTTTCACATAAAACCCAAAGCATTGGGAAGGATCTCGTAAGCACAGTGCCGGGCATCACCCCTGCCTGCAGTGAAGGGCTTACAGAAGCGATGCTCAGGAGCATCCCAGGAGGGGTTGAAAGGGGTCTTCTCACCCAGCGAGCCTCTAACAGAGCACAGAAATGCTGGCAAAGCCCTTCCCACACCTACCCAGCATCGCCTCTCCGACCCACCCTGCTCTCAGCCCTGGCTCCGCTCCCATCCCCGGGATCACAGCTCAGGAAGCAGAAGATGGTGGGAAGACCCATCAGAGTCACGGAGTTTGTGCTGAGGGCCCTTTCCAAGGAAAACTTGAACTCCGTCCTTTCACAGCTGGGTGCTGGGGATGCTGTACAGCCAGGGGATGTGACCAAGGTCACACAAGGAACCCGTAGCAAAGCATCAATACCAGGGCAGCATCCCAGGGAGCTGCCCCCGTCTCTGCCCACAGAGGCACAGAGCCGCCGCTCGCTGCCGGCAAGAGATAGAGCTCAGATTTATTCAGCGTTAAAAGGTTCCCAAAACCGGGCATATAGGCACCCTTTATCTACAAAGTGCAGTAATCAGTGGATGATATTAAGCAGTGTTGGAAAAGACAAGGGGAAATTATTTAGGCAGCATTGTATCTTCAGAAAGCTGAAATGAAATTTCCTCCCAGCCCTCACCGGCTTTGCTGCACTCCGCTTTTGCTCAGGAGCTGCTTTTTAAGTCTTGCAAGTCTCACCGCAATCGTGGGTGTTGCTTAATTTTAAAAATACTCGTTTTAATCAAGCTGAATGGAATAAAAAGAACAGCACTGGAGGGAGTGTGAACCCTGCAGCCTGCCGGATCCGGCCGCACCACGTGTCCCAGCCAGGACACTTGAATAATGAGGCTTTTGGAGCAGCAGCAAGTTCAGCTGAAGAACTGAAAGAAACTGAAGAATTCTCTTTAAAAAAGTCCTAAAACTTAAAAAAACCCAAGTCTTTTTGCAGGTGGGTTTGAGTCAGCTCAGCTGCAAGGGAGGCTGCGGAGGGGTTGCTTTTACCCAGCAGGTTTCTGTGAGTCAGGGACACAGCTTGCTCGGGATGCTCTGCTTCGAAGGCTGTGCTAAGGCAGCACGGAGCAGAGAGCATCTGCAGCTGGGGGGCTTCAGCAGCCCCCGGTTTCAGCTGCTTTTTATCCTCCCAAAAGTCACCGAAGGCATCAAATTGCAAAGCTCAACCCCAGATTTTGAACCCCCGGAGATTTGCGATCATGAGTATCGGCTTGATGTGGTTCTGCCACTTCTGCTTGGAGCAAAGGGTACCTAATTCAGGATTAGCCGGGATGCAGTGGGTGCCCGGGAGGAGGCTCCCGGCTTCCAGGACATTCGCATCCATCCTGGCAAGCACTGGAGAGGGGCAGATTCCTGGGAGAGGGTTTGGTGCAGCTTTCACTGCAGCTCAAAGGAGCTGCGGCTGTGATTGCACATTGGGTAATTGCGTGTGCAAATCGGCCGCTTACACGGGCAATTACCCCACGGTGCCCAGGCAGCGCAGAGGGCACCGCGCAGCCACGTCTCCAAGGTGCTGTTCCTCCGTGCAAGACGGATCAATACAGGCAGACAGAGGGGATGAAAAAGCAACATTCATCCCTGTCTCTCTGTTTGTTTGGGGTTTTTTTAAGGGACAAAGGGACTAATACATGGGGAAAGAACAGCCTTTGCCCACAGTTGCAGCGGGAGGCTGCAGCAGGGACTCCCGTGGGCAGCCCCATACCAGTGCTTTCTTCCCCACATCTGAACCGGGGAGTTGAAACAGCCCCTTGATCAGCCTCATACAGCTAAAGTGCCCTTCAGAAGAGCCCTGCCCGCTTGTGAAGCGACCCGGCGCTGTGAGGTGAAGCCCACGTGCTGGAAGCTTCACCCAAAGCACCCAGCAGCGACCTTGCTCTGGCCGCTGCAGCCACAGGATCACCGCTCCCCGCAGAGACCAGCCTGGCAGCATCGCCTTATCCCAGTTTCTGAGCTAAAATGCGTTTCAGAAACCATCCAGGTTTAGATGGAGCAGGGACGGAGAGGGGGACTGCGGTATTCCTTTCCCTTCTGTTACCTATGAACACAGCGAGGCTTCCCGCAGCATATTTCATCCCTGAAATTCAGCACTCAAAACCAGGAGGGAGCAAGACATCCTTAAGGGTTGTTGATGAAGGCTTCAGCAGAGCTAACTCTTTAACACAGCCTTCAACAGAGAGAGAAAAAATGATAACAAACAATAAAAGAAGTGTTCAGGAAGCAAAGAGAAAAAGAAATTCATTTTCAGCGTCTCCGTTTCTGAAGAAAGCAGCCTGCCAACCACCTCCAGCCCCAGCTCGTCTCGAATTGTAAGCAAAATATTCCAGAAGTGTTTAACTCTCCTACAAAGTCTTTTAAGAGGCCTGTTACTGTTACAATGAGCAAAGCGCACACAGGACTCCGCAGACTTGGCCAAACAACTGACTGAGCCCCGAGTAACAACAGACCCACACAACTCAAACACAGGACGATGCACAGCCCTCCTTGGAGGGGAGCAGAAACACCGGCTCGGATCCAGAGCCCTGCTCGACCCTGTGTCTAGAGAAGGCAAAGAGGAACCCCATAAGCTCTTACAGCACCAAATTATCCCCTGATTTAAAGCCTCCCTCCTGGGAAAACAATTAACCATTGGGATTTTTTGTTGTTGTTTTTTTGGTTTTTTTTTTATGAGGATGGTTTAAAGCACAATTCAATCCACAGCGATGCAGAGGTTCGCGGAGGTCTTTATCGGACCAAAGTCAAAACAAGCTGATGTCCTGCAAGCTGGTGGGACTGCAGCAAAGTGGCTGGGGATGGGGATGGCTCCAGCAGAGGAGCAGGTAGATCTCAACCTGTGCCTACCCGCTTCTCACAGACTGATTTGGAGAAGAGGTCTCAGCACCCTGCCCAGAGGAGGGGGAGGCAGAGCGGGTGCCGGGTCCTGGAGCGGCCAAGGAGATGGCAAGTCAGGGCACATCTCCATCCCACAGCTCCAGTTCACCAGCCCAAGCCTTGGTCAGCACTAAACGGTAAACGCTTCTGCATATTTTTGGATGTAAACAAGCGTTCATCCTTGATACATCTGCGTCTTACACTGGGAGAGGTCAGAATCATATTGAATTGTTTTTAGAGGACGAGAGCTGGCTTGCAACGCCTGTTAACCTTCAAGTGTTCTCTTAAAAGCAAACTCCCCAAATCTTCTCCTTTAAAATAACGCAACATAATTATGCCATTCATCACTTTTTTCTTCCCTTTTCCCCATGCAACTCAGTAACCTACAGCCAAAGCCATGTTTCACTAAGCTGAGTTTTGATAATACAGCGCTATTCTCATCTCCAGCAAGTTTTACTGTAATTACAGAGATGTGTTGCAGACATTACACACTCTACAATTAGCACTAATTGCATTACATTGTCACAAAGAAGTCATTTACTCTCCATGAGCTCATGAGATTGGTCTGGACAGTTTAACAGAGCTGAGAAGTACTTAATGGCATGCCACGAAAGTGGCCGGCAGCGCGGCAGGAGCAAGCAGAGCACCCAAGCAGCTCTCCCAGCCCTCTGCAAGCGGCAGATTTGGGGCAAAGGCACAAAAAGATTTCTCTGCAACGTTACCCTCTGTCAGGTCCAGAAATTTCTCGGGGGGGGGGGGGGGTTAAATACTACAAGTTTGGGGTTTGGGGTTTTTTTTGAAGCCTCTGCTAGACTGGTGGTAGTTGGGAAGGGTTTCGATGGATGGTGTGCCCGTGGGAGCGCACAGCCCCGGTGTGCAGCACATCCCACGTGCCCCTCGGCATGACGTGCCTTCCCCACCCGATGCCCCACAGACACGGTTTGCTGCTTCTGCTCTCCCTCTGCCATCACTTTCTGCTGCCCATGGGAAAGGAATTGGCAGGGAAAGCAGGAGAGCAGGAGCCCGGGGACCTGCGAGGTACTGGGGAGCCCACGCTGTCCTGCTGCTTCCCCTCTCCCATGTCCTGCACAAAAAGGGGAGGAAAAAAGTGGGAAGGCAGAAGCAGAGCTGCTTCGTTGCGGTCACCGGGGCCATGTGGAAATGTCAGTTTGGGGGTCTCTTCCCTGTCATTGCACTGGAGAACCTGGCTGAAGCCCTTATAGGAGACCTACATACAAATGGGACACGCTTTATCGGGTATCTAGCAAATACAGGGGGGATTTGAGGATCACCCTGGTGCACGCTCTCCTCCCGGGCCGCAGCTCGGCTCTGGCCCCTTTCCTGACATCACACACCTGCTCAGATGCAAGATGCCTTCACGTCGAGCTCGGCTCGTCCCTTGCTCCCGTGCTTTGCTGTTAGCACCATGGTCTGGATGCTCATCAGTGTAATTTGGCCCACGTTGGAACCGCAGAGCTGTGCTCAGGAGCTACCAGAGGAATCTGCTACCAGAGGTCTGGTTGGGATTTGACCCTGGAGTGCTTTTTTCTCTTATCCTTACAGTGTTTTTTCCTATATCTTGAGTCTAGTAATGGGCTTGGGTTCCTGATTTTTTCCTCTGCTACAACAGTGGCCCATTCCTGCAGCCCCTTCGGCTTTCCCCAGCACTCGGTGCTGCCAGGGAGAGCCGAGGGATGCTCCGGGACGGCAGCGACGCTCCGAGCAGGATGCGACGCTCTGGGATGGATGGGCAATGGCTGGAGGAGAGCGCGAGGGCACAAAAGAGAGCAGAGAAAGCGGACACTGGGGTAGGAGAGGCTCCGCTTTGTATTTAAACCCAGTTCGATCCTTTGTCAGCCGAATTGGTTTTGACGGGGCCCAGATGGGAACAGTTCATGCACACGAAGGGAAGACCCATCATTTAGCGAGAGGCAAAGCCAACCTGGCAGGAGTCACAGGAACGCTCAAGCTGCAAGGCTGCAAAACCTCTGCAACAAATAAATGCCTCCGCACATCGGGAAGGCGGCTGTGTCAGAGGGGAGGTCGGTGCCGCTCTCCGTGCTCTGCCCGCGAAGTAGGCGGCTCTCACACATCCAAACGCCTGTCTAGGTGCAGTAGGTGGGCAGGAGATTTGATGCTTGCTTAAGCAAAGTGCAGCTATATTTCGTCATAGGAACTGGGACGGTCTCTGCCGATGTCCCTCTAGACCGAGGTCCCATCACGGTGGGCTCTCCGTAGAAGCACATCAGGGATAACTCTAGCTCCAAAGACTTTGCAAGCTCAACAGGTAAGGCCAGGACTGGGCTGGGAGGGGAACGCAGCAGCACCCCGGGGCAGCAGAGCTGGAAGCAGCCCAGCACCCAGCACCGTGCCTCCCCTGGTGGGATGTCTGGCCTTGCTTGGGTCTGGTTCTTCATCACACTTAATTCTAGTATAAGAAATTATAAGAAAGAAGAAATGAAGAATACACAGGGTGGCTTTAGCAGGCTCCAGCCCTTGGCCATGCTGCTGATGTTTACAAGCCTACCAGAGCTGATCAGACCTGGGGTCCCACTTTGTCCAACATCCCACTGCTGCAGCCCCTAACATTGCTCAGATACTTCAGGAGGAAACTTTGAGCCCTCTCCTAACCCCAGGAGCCAGAGGCTGGTGCAGCTGGAAAGGACAAGCTTGTAGCCTCCTGCAGAAATGGGGTTACAGGGACAGTTACAGCTCTTGGCCTTTCTGCCCTCCATCTCTGCCTCCAGTCTGGGTCTTGAGCCTCTCTCCATCTTTTGGGCTCTGCAGCACCCCATGACAATGAGTTTCCCAGGCCAAGGATGCACTGGGATACCTGGCACCTCCCTACTGGTTTTACTAGGCCACAGTTTTGGTTCTTCCAGCTGCCTGGCAGAGGTGTGTGCCGTGACCCTATGGGGCCAGTGATGGACCACAAGCAAAGCCCACCAAGGTGTTGCCCCTTCTTGGGGCACACCAAACCCATGCCAGGTAAACAGCCCAGCTGGGAGGGCCCCCTGCTCCTTTCCAGGAAAATCCAGTAAATTTGATCTCTAGCTCTATCAAAAGAGGAAAAAACCCAGTGTTTTCCCAAAGGTCTTTGGGCTCTTGGAGCGGGGAGGGGAGGCAAGGGCCGGTGAGCGACTCGTGTGTCAAAGAAATTCAGCTCGCTGGCTGGGGGCCAGGGACTTTTCATGTGGATTTCCAGCCTCCGCCAGGAGACTCTCGGGTGCTGGAAGAGCCTTTAATTCAAACCAGGTGCCTCTGAAAGGAAAATGCTCAAAAAGGCGAACTTGGTCGTTTTCCCTCAAAAAAAAAAACCAAAAAAAACCAAAGTATAATCATGAGGGCAATCATGCACATTTCAGTGAATTATCCTCCCTGGCATGCCGCTGCGTGCTCCCAACCGCCTACTCCACCACCACCTCGCCCAATGGAAACCAAAATCACCAGCAGGGCTGGAGGAAGAAGAGCTGAGCCCAGCACCCAGCGAGGAGCCCCAGGACCCGGGCTGGCCAAAATGCACTGCAAGCAGCTTTTGTCACCCTGCCTTGCTCTCTCCATGAGCTGAACAGCGATCCCGCGAGCTATGGAGAAGACCAGAGGGATCACCGCGGTCCGGGTGGTGATCCCCACTGAGGAGCCAGGATGGGCAATGCCGACAGTACCAATGCCCAGCAAGCCCCCAGCCTTCACTGCTGCAAACCAGCCGCTCCCCCAAATCCAGTGCTTGCCAAGCGGTGCCATAAATAACAACAGAATTGTGGGGAGAGGGGGACCAGCCACGCCGCGCTTACCCCGCAATGACGATGAAGAAGTCCAGGCGGTTCCATGTGTCTCCCAGGTAGCATTTCTTCCCAAAAATCCCCAGCGCAATCATCTTGACGATCATTTCCACGGCGAAGAAGGCAAAGATGAAATCATCGAAGCTCTGCAAAAGAAAGGAAGGGAGGAGGGATGCTCCTGCATTGCTGCACACTCACACCGGGGGAGGGAATTAGAGACCTGAGTCCAACAAGGTCTCCTCTTGCACCACCATGAGCTAAAATCCCTGGGCAGAGGCAGTGATGAGAGCCGCTCCGTGTCTTCCCCCAACCCAGGCTGGCCAACAGCACCCACGGTGCTAGGGTAAAGGGACAAGTATTTTTTAGGCTCTGCTTTCACTCTAAACTCAATGGTTAACCTTCCCAAGCACTCCAAGCAAGGCTTGGCTACGTTAGGTCTGGCAGAGCCTGGCAAGGGCTTTGCCCGATGACACCGTGCCTTTGCATCCGAGCACCAAAATCAGCATTTTTTAAGTGCTGGCGGGACAGCCAGCGGAGGCAGGACCCAGCCATCCCAGGGCACGAGGCCACCTCCGCCGTGGCGAGAGCCAGCTCTGCCGCAGCTCGGTCCTTCCTTCTCCCCACCAAGCCGGAGCCGCGGTTAAGCTCCAAGCAGCGGCCGAGCCGCAGGCCGTACCTGGAGGATCCTGCAGCGCGGCGAGTCACAGGCGATGTCCTCGCAGGGGTGGAACATGCCCAGCGTCACGCAGTTGAGCAGGATCACCAGCATGCTCACCCTCTCGAACCACCTGCGCGACACCCCGTCAAGGAAGCAACGGGCCCAGACGAGCATCCGCGAGCAGCCACCGCTAAATCAGAAAGGTTATTCTCGTCTTTACAGCAAGGTGCACGCCAGCTTCTCTAGGTTAGACCTCGTCTGGTTTGCAGGGAAAGCCTGCCTGCTCTTTAGATACCTGCTCGGCAAACCGACGGCGTGTTCTCCCCACGCCGACATCTACAGCTACAGCTAATGTGAAAACCGCTATAAAATGAAAGTCTCATAGCAAGAGCGCTGAGTGCTGATGTGATGGATTAAAAAATTAAATTAAAAGAACGATATCAACTTTTAGAAAAAAATAAACCCCACACCGTTAATTTCCTCTCCTGGCATTTCATGGAAAAGCACTTTAACAACATTACATTTTTCTATTAACCATGTCACGGCTTATCCCAGGGGCGTTTCCCTGAAGTCTCTACTTGAACTTTTCATTCCCAGTCCAAATTAAGACTGTCAAAACCATTAACCAACTGCCTAAAAGCCTTTAAGACGGTGAGAACCCGCAGAGCCCATTCCCTACCCTGACTGCTGCCTCTTGGAGCAATTTTAAAGAGCTGAGCTGCTGGGACAGACTTTGGATGCTTTCACTTTTGGGGCAGAATAAAGCGTGCTGCTGCAGCAAATCCTCATAGGGATGGTTCAAACCTGGTACCAAATTTTTTGCATCCTTCTAGGGGCCATTTCCAGCCAGCTCTTGACTGCTAGGGGCACAGGGATGCAAAATCCAGGAGCTGGTCCAACACGGCACCGGGGTTATCTTCCAGCCTAGCATGGAAAACAGCCCATCGGCTGCCACAACCCGCAGGCAGTCGGGGCCACGCTCCTGCCTGGGTGCAGGCAGCAGCTTCCAGGCTCTAGGAAAATAAGCACAACCCTTGTCAGACAAGAGCTTTCGCTGCAACGCGGTAGCGGGTGGTGTTTGGGAGCCCGTGCTGTAGCGTTATCTGGCTGGGGAAGAAGAAGGTGAGGATGAATCAGCAGGTGCCTCCCCGCCGGGCACGCGGGGCTGGATTTGGCAGCTCCTGCCACCCAGCCTGGGCGAATTCCTGGGAAATCACATGGGGCTGAGTCACAGCTTGGTCGTCAGCAATCTGGATCTTTTAATCAGAAGAAATGTTTACAAGATATCGGGATAGACATTCCAACTGTCAGGTTGGGGTTATGGGCTGGAATATTTAGCCCAAATATAGCCCTGCGGGGGCAGGCGCGGAGGGCAGCCAGAGGAGGGGGCAGCAGCTTAGGGGGGCTGGAAAGCATCCCTCTGCAGAGCCAGCCGCATCCACGGCTCTGTCAGCGAGGAATTGCAAAGCCCTTGAGAACAGAAAGAATTTTAAAAACCCCTGTAAGGTCCCAAATGAGTGACAGGACGAGCATGTGTCTGTAAGGGCTCTGCAAGATATTCAGCAGGGAAGCGAGGAGGCTCGGGAGTAGCCTGCTCGGTTGGGTCAAAACCTGAGGAGGCAGACGGATGCTTCCCCGGACAGGCAAAGCTTCATGCAAATTCTTTCATGGTGGTGGAGAAGACCTTGCACTGGGCCTGGCTCTCCTCCACGGGCTCCATCTCAGCCGGGCATGGGACCCGGGTGATGCTTTTGCCACGGTGGGGAGTTGCTTGGTGCTGACCGGGGACCGCAAGCTCCCAAGCGAGTGGAGATGGGCACGGAACCATGATGTGCACCTGCTTGGAGCCACTCTGATCTCACCTCCTCCCTCTCCAAGACCTAGCGCAGCCGAGCAGATCCAACCTCACCGCAGCCCCATGTCCAGTGCGAAGGGCTGAGCGGTGCCTGAAACGGGAGGAACAGCAGAGGATGGCACCGAGGGCACCCTCCCGGTCCTCCTCCGGCACACCACAGACAGCAAAGCCGCGGGTGCCCCTCGATGCTCGTTAGCGTGCCGGCACCAGCACCGCCGACTAATTGCGAGCGGAGGGTAGCCAGGAGAGCGCAGAGACACCACAACCTGCTGGGCACGGGGTGTGAGGTGCGGCCGGGAAGAAGATGCGGGGACCAGCGTCAGAGCTGCACCCACCAAAGGGTCCCCCGTGGGCAGCCCCCACCTGCCCAAACACCCCGCTGCCCAGAGCCCCAGCTCTCCCCATTTCGGCACGGGTGCTGGCACAGGCACGGCCCCCCCATGCCGCCCTCCCCAGCGAGACGATGAACACCCCTCCCCATCGCATCCCCCCCAGGTCTGTCCGTGCCCCCAGCCCAGGGCTGGTCCATGCCCTCCCACCCCGACTCCCCTTGCAGGAACAAACATCCCACAGGCAGGAAAACAGCCTGGGGAAGGGGGGGAACCGTGGAGCGGGAGGGGATTTTATTTGCTGATGACAGGTTTTTTTCTCCCAGCTTTAACCACAGACCCACTTATCAGCATATCGCTCCCTCAAGCAAATACATTTCAGTCCAATATAACACTTCACCCTGATTAAATATTCCCGGGACAGGGACCCCGGCGGTGCCGAGGGCGGTATGTTAATGTGCAGCTGATAGATCAGAAGGTTGGGGGGGTGGGGGGTGTATTTTATTTTTTTGCCTTTTTTTTTTTTTCCAGCTGAATGAAACTTCAAGCTCTTTCTTCTGCTAATGGGATTTTCAGAGGCACACAAAGTGCTGATGGCTATGGCTTTGTACCGACCCTCCTTTGAGCCGAGAGGCTGACAAAGGGAAACTCTTCAATTAGCAAAAGCAGAAGGTGCTTTATTGAATGCCGCTCGCCGCTGCTGCGTGGGCAGTGAAGGGGCAAAGGGGCTTTGGGAAGCACCAGAGACGGTGCTGGTCCTCGGCCAGCGGCTGAGGCGAGGAGGAGGAGGCAAACGCTCAGCGCGAGGGGCAGCCGTGGCACCGCCACTGCCTCTCATCCCAGTGCTGAGCTGAGCCCACGGTCCACGTTGCACGAGATAAATATTCACCGGGAGTGGAGCTGGCCCTGGGGAGTCCTGCACCCGCCTCACACCGGGCAGGCGGGATGCGTAGGGCTGATGTTTAAAAGAAATTAATGATGGGGTTCATGCCCACACAGCAGGTAATCACCCCACCTGCTCCATCCCATGGGTGTCAGAGAAAGAGACCCTGCTTTTCAGGGTCACCTGCTCACCCCAGCTTATTCTTAAAAATCCACATTTTTACCATCAACTTGGTCAAGACAGACAGCCAAAATGCTCACAGATTCTTTTCAATTAAAAAAATCTGTTTCTGCCACACAGAAATATCCAGTAACGCTTCTGTTGTAACCAGACTCTTAAAATTCATAAGATAAAGAGCACCAAAAAAAAGGAAAATAACCACAAGTCAGTCACTTGTTATGAACAGGAGCCTTTGCACAGAGCAAGAGCCCTCAGCCCCTTTCCCACCACGAGCGATCCCTGTGCTACCTGCCCGCGCTCGGCAGAGCCTGACCTTTCATAATTAAGAGGCAAGACCCCCAGATTCAATTAGCCAGCACTACCCAGCTTAATATAATCAAAAGAGAAAGATAATGTGTTATGCTTGCTATGATTTGGTTGCAGAAGTTTGGATCAAATTCACCGGCAAGTGAATTAAATGGGAAGCTGTTCCTCGAGGGCAGCAGCAACCAAGAGGACGGCGGGCACGATGCTCGGTCCAGCAGCAGCGCGGGCTCTCTCTGCCGAGCTGGAGCACACGCCCTGCTCCCGGTGGGCTCTTTGGTTTGGAGATGGGAAGACCGGGCACCACCATGCCGCAGCGTTGCCCATCCCCAGAGATGGTGGTCCCTTCCCCGAGGCGGCCGGGCACCCGCGCCGACAGCTGAGCCAGGTATGGAGGGCAGCATTTGGCGATGCTTTACAGGGATACACGCTCTTCCATGGGATTAATATTTATTTCTTCCCTTAGTGCTCTGCTATTCCCAGGTGGCTTCTGCCATTCCCCCTCTCCTTCTTCCCTGCATCCCTCTCTCTCCTCTCTGGCTCCCTCCCTGACCCCCTACTCCAGCTCGCCCTAAGCAGCACCAGTGCTCCAGCAAAGCACCGGCTCCACGGCAAGGTGCTGCCACCCTACCGTCACCGGGAGATGGGGTGGGAGCCCCCGAAAGCACAGTCAGCACAACGGGGAGCCTACGGGCAGCCCCACAGCACCAGGGGCTGCAAGCTTGTATCCTGCAATAAAACCCAAGCGCAGAAATGCATTGAACCGCCTGGATCTGGCCAGGTGACACCTCGGCTCCGCTCTGCTGCCTGTTTTCTGGGGCAAGGAGAGGTCGTTCAGACCCACGGGCCATGGCCATGGCCACAGTCGGGTCCCCCATCACCACCCGCAGTCAATTCTCTTGTGCCAGGCAAAGCCTGCGCTCGCCGGGACAGCGGCTGGTGTTTGACAAATGTGCAGCAAGCAGTGGCGAGGCCTGGAAATTTTAGCGCAAATGTGATGTGAAAATTGGGTTGAAACGACAGCCTTCCCCTGCAGTGTCACCGAGTCCCACCAGCTTAGGAGTGACACTGGGATAAGCTGCAGACGTTAATGAGAGCGGAGTTTTAGGCTTCATTCATATCATCAATTCCAGAAATAGCCCCTTTGACAGAAGCATAATGGGACTTCCAGGGTCTGGCCTTTGGGAGGGTGGGAGGAGGCAGGGACTAAAATCCTAAAACATTAATTCAGGCCGTTTGCAAGGAAAGTTAAAAGTCCTCAGAATTAATCTGCTTCATGGGTGGAAATAATAAACCCTTCCCAGCTTCGCCTCCGACTGCACCAGGCCAACAGGAAAAGTGTCTTCATATCATGCCCAGTTGAAAGGTTATAGAATTCCCATCCCAACCCTGGACATTTAATAGCATTATTTTTTTCCTACCATACTTCTTCAAAAGCGAAACCAGCACCCATCTTTTGCTTTTAGCATTTGCAGGAAGCATCTGCATCCCCTTGGACGCTGCATGCCAGAGGTGCTCTCGGAGCATCTTTACACGGTGAATCTGCTTGCCTGGCTTACAGCTGAGCGCCGGCAGAGATC